AATATGTAGATTTAAAAGGATCTTGAGCTTAAAGTTTATAGTAAATTTATATGTTTTTATTATAATTTTTATTATAAACTTACACTTATATATAAACATATGTGACATCTTTCCTGACTGTTATTCCAATTATGTAAACTATCGAAGTAGAATTTTTCTTAATTTTTGGACAAAATTACTTGACAACAATCTAATAGAACTCAATAGAAATTTTTTAAATAATTTCTAGAAACTAATAAAATTTATTTTTTTAAAAAAATTCAACAAATTATATCAAGTAGTTGTTGAGAAACTTTTATTCAAAGTTTGGAAGAATTTCACTATCTCAGAAAATAACCATGGCAAATATTTTTTAAACTTGAATGAAAATTACTTGACAACTATCTAATAAAATTTGTTATGAATTTTTTAAAAAATTTCATCGAATTCTGTCAGGTAGTTGTTGAGAAGTTTTGTTAAAAATTTTTACTGCCTTTTAAAATTGCTGTGGCAAAAATTTTTAAACTTTAACCAAAAATCTCTCAACAACTATCTGATATAATTTTTTAAAAAAATAAATTCTATAAAATAATAGAATTCATTTAAAAAAAATTTCATCGAATTCTGTCATGTAATTTCCGAGAAATTTTCATTCAAAGTTAAAAAATTTCTGTTGTAGCTATTTTCTTAGGAGGCAGTGAAAATTTTCAAAATTTGAACAAAAATTTCTCAACAACTACTCGATAGAATTCGATGAGAATTTTTTTAAATGAATTCTATTAATTCATAAAATTGATATAAAAAAATTATCCATACATGTGATATTCGTAGGTGCAACTCACGTGACCTGGTAGGTGTCCGGAGACTCTCCCTAAAAATAACCTTGTCAAAAAAACACGGGTTGTTACATAGTACCCATGGAATAAGTATTTGTTATTCACAATCGTGTAGTTGCATATTTAAATATTCGTGAATCTTACCTGCATATAATCACATGATATCAATAAATACCCGTGAATCTTTCATGAATATTCATTCAATATCATTCACGGATGACTAAAATCCGCAAATATTCATTTAATAACCATGACGGATATTTAAAAGATCCAACTATAGATGCCGTAGAATTAGTATCGACTGCGCCGAAAGTATTTAGGCACCGATTTTTCGGCAAAAATAAAGCCGCAAATTATAATTTATGCCGCAATCCGAAATAAAAGCCGAAATCCAAAACATATATCATAATCTAAATTACAGCTGTTTTAATAAATTCTGGGACAACTGATAAAAATTATTTCGGCCGAATTCGATAAGTTTTTGAATTCGGTGTTATCGGAATTTGATTTCGGCGAATTCAAAAACTTATCGAACTTATCGAATTCGGCTGATCAATTTTTATCAGTTGTCCCAGAATTTATGAAAACAGCTGTAATTGCCGCAATTTGTCTTATAATCCGCATGTCAAAATGCAGGTAAAAATTATGCCGCAATTATTTCTACGGCGGCATATATAGATACAACCTCTACCTTATAATTATATCTAACCTACCCGAAAGAAGTTAGTACGATCTGCGTATATGCGTGAAATTTCGCGGAAATTGCAGGTGCGGAAAAACTTTTGTCGGGCACTGTATAAAATACTATTAAGAAATCGAAGAATTACAAAAAAAGGTTAATTATATAAAATATTTTGGTTAAATAAAACAATATAAATTTGAATACGATCTAACTCCAAAATATTTTTTAGCAAAAATTCGCAATTACTTTACTTGAATCTGCTACAGTAATTATCTGCGGTATACACTTATAGCTATATATTTCATATGATCCAATATACGGTGACATATTTGGTTTTTAAGTAAAGTTAGTTGGAATTCTTTTCACGGCGAGTGATGGTGTTCTTTTAAAGCTATTGAGTGAAATTAGTGGTGAACTTTCGTAAGCGAAATGTCACGTTCTCAAAAAAGCCCATTTAAAACATGAGATTGAACATGGAAAAATGAAAGATCGGTCACTTACATAATGATTTACATCAATTATGTTTCAGGCCTCTTTAAATGCATTGCGACGGGGCCATATATCAAAATTTAGTAAACGTGAATTTAAAGATGTATTGCATTTAAGGAGGTAAAATCTATAGGCATTGGATTTAGTTTGTTCAGGTGAAGACCTGCATCATAGGGTGTGCATTTAAGGGGTTTGCATTTAAGGAGGTCTGTTGCGCCGGTTAATCAATTTATGGACTAAACGAATTACAGTTAGACCTCTCTAAGTGCACGCCCTTGGGATCACACTTTAATAACATGCATATAGGGAATAATAAGAAAAAGTGCATTTACAGAGGTCAGGTATATATTTGGGCCAGCACTTGACCGTGCATTAGGGGGTGTGCACTTATAGAAGGTGCACTTAGAGAGGTCTGGCTGTATTCTTTTACAAAGCGAAAGTCTAACATTTGACTAAAGATTGAAGATTGTTTTGTACTACTATAGAATACACCACAAAACTCTGCATAAGCAAGCATAGCATAAAGCTTAATAATAATGATAATTAGATAACTGCATAAAACTTACGTAATTTAGTAAATCCGAAATTATTTGCAGCTATTTTAACGTTAAGCAATATTAATATTTAATTAAAATAAAGTTATGGTCTGGTCGTCATCACGAATAGTTTTTTGTTTATGTAGAAAATCAATTAATCATTCGTCGATACAAGTATTCTATTAGTAATTGGAAATTAAACTTCATTACCAGCAGTATGTTAACTTGTCGATATTCTTAATAACAAGCTTAGGCAAAATTAGCAAGTAGCTTTCTTTACATCATTATCCAACTTCCAACGATTAATATATTAGGGGTTTCAAAGTTAAAATGCGGAAATCTAATTTTAATTGAAATTGATGACGTATTTATTTTGAAATAAGTGATCTGTCAATTTGAACGAAAGTTTTACTTTTTATTTACAGTCAGACCTCTCTAAGTGCACCTTCTATAAGTGCTCACCCTCTCTAAATGCACGCTCAAGTGCTGGCCCAAACATATACTTGACCTCTATAAATGCACTTTTTCTTATTATTCCCTATATGCATGTATTTTTTTTTTTTACGAGCATAATAAAAATTTTCCGATTTCGGATCTCCAAACACTCACATTTTCATTTTCCGATTTTAAAATCTTGAAAAACAAATAAGATTTTGATTTTTCAAACTCTAATTTAATTTCAAAATGCGCTACTTATTTGTTAACTTTGAAACCCCCTATTAAATTTGTCCGCACTAAACATATATATGTTGTGATTAGTCAATTCCGAACTCCTATTATCTGATATTATATAATATATGCACGACAATTACGCAAGATTAAAATGATATTCAATTTTAAAACTTTTGTCATCGGTGCCACTTTTCATTTTATAATTGAACAAGAATTTCTGCTTTAAAATAACCATCATCAAGATCCCATTCATAACTCTTTAATATCTTCAAATTTCCTTGTTAACTTATCATTCTTTCCAATGGGTAATGAAATTTCAAAAATTAAAAAAAAGATAATCATAAATGATAAAGATTTTAAAGATTTTAAACCTGATAATCATGGACATCATAAAAAAACAAATTCAAATACTGGATTTCCCGTGGTTGATTATGAATTAGAAGAAGAAAAACATCGCGTTAGTTACAATTTTCCATTTATATTAAAAACCACCTAAATCATATCTGTTTATATTTATACTGTATACATATCTTGATTATTAGCACGAAATTCTCTTAAAAGCTTGGAACTCAAACTTTTATTCTCCAGTCGAATCTATTTTAAAACATGGTAATGCCAAAGTTCTCGATATTGGGTAAGTTTTGCACATATTAACAGTTTATTTATAATTATAAATATCTTATAAATTTTTTCTTTTTTTAAAAAAGATGTGGATTTGGCGCGTGGATATACGATATGGTATTGTAATATTTGTTATATATAAACCATTTATTGTCAAATTCTATCGATTTCAATGAGTCTTTTTTTTTTCTCAACGAATAATTACTTAATTTAAAGGCATTAAACTATCCACTTTCACATTTCACTGGAATTGATATTATAACCCCAAAAGATTCTATCCTTTCAAATGTCAGCCTTGTACAAGCTGATGTTTTGAAAGGATTAAAATATTCAGATTGCTCTTTTGATTATATTCACGGCAGAGATTTATTATGGTATATTACAACAAAAGATGCACGCAAATTATTTCCAGGTAAATTATCTTAATAAGTCTTTAATTAATTAGTCAATTAATAAATTAATATATATATATTTCATGTAATAGATTTGTTACGAATTTTAAAGCCTGGTGGTTGGATTGAAAGTGTAGAATATGATAAAATTATAAATTCTGGGCCTAACACCAGATTCCTTACAGATATATGTAATTTTTAATTATTATAATTATATTATTATTTTTTTTTTTGTGTAAATATAAAATTTAATAACACTTTATATGATAGTATCTAGTTACTTTCGAAATCATGGAATTTTTCCTTATGATTTTTATAAAAATTTATCGAAAATATTTAAAGAAAATAATCTTGAATATCAAGTTGAAGAGAAAACGATAAGTTTTTATGATTCTGAATTGGTAAATGTTTTTTTTTATTTATTTTTGAGATTTCATATATTTGTATTTATATTTAACAAAAAAAAATAATTAATTTGTAAATTTTTCCGTAGTTAACAAAAAAATTCATAATTTTGTTTAAAATTTTAAAATCCGTTATTCTTGAATATACAAGCATTAGTTCTGAAAAATATGACGAAATTCTTGATAAAGTTTGGGCTGAAGTCATAGAATATAAAACTTCATTTCGGTCGATAAGATATTTTGGGAAAAAAATCTTGCTTATTTAAAAATATTTATTTTCGTCTTTAATACATATATAGTTAACCTTCGTCTGTAAAATTCTAGAGTTCCAATCCGGATAAATCCGTCACCCGTTTATCCGTATCTGATTTATTCGGTTATCCGTTTACTATTGATATAATCTGACAGAACAGATATTTGGATAATTATCCGGATATCAATAGTAAATGGAATTCAGATCCGGATATCTGATAATTATCCGGATAAACGCTCAATATACATATATTAATAATAATGAGATAAATAAAATTATATATGATTTAAGTTTTTATGTTATTCAAATGCATAAATATAACTTAAAAAAATAAACCTATTTAGCTTCTTTATTTGCACAAGTTTTTTTATTTAAAATTTTGCAGTAACTATACAACTTTTTAACGGTCATCCCTTTTTACTTGTAGTTCCTGATTCGCTGTCACGAGAATACTCTTTTTAACTTTCATCTATTTTCATATTATTCGTTATACAGAAGTTACTTGAACTGGACTTTGTGTTCTATATTATAAAGTATTCGAATGCTGATAGAGAAGCTTTTTTTTTTTTCTGTTGATATATTACGAGCTTTCTAAACCTTTCTAGCGTGATTTTCTATCAAACCTTTATGAATGCCGGCTTCAATATTTTTTCACCATATACTTAATAAAGGCCACGAATCTTTAGTTTGGACCATTTTATTTGAATCCTAACGCTATTTTTTTTTTTATAAAAAAAAAAATAAATTCAATCAACCTACAGTTACGTGATTAATATTGAATCAATTTTGTTCTAACAGTGATGAAAGATCAATCCCAACGCATACGTACGTTCTGATAATTCCACTTTCAAACGTTGTTCATTAATATTATACCAGATTTCTGCTACAATTTTACAATCGGTCTTTATTGGAATAAAAAAATCAAGTGAGAAAATATTTCACAGATAAAAGAATCAGATAAATTATGACCAGAATCGTTCAGATGCAGAAAGAAATACAGTCCAGTTCGTTTGTTATTGTGTATAAAGAAAGGTACATAACTGATCCCTCCTTTAGGATTACTAGACATTTATCCATCTCATCTAAATCAACTAACCTTCTTATTATCCAAAAGCTTTCCGGCACGATCACGAACTTCCTGTGAAGATTTCGTATCATCGCTTATTTTTCGCAAGGACGTATAATATATTCGATGGATATTTTCTTTATCGGCAGATTCATCGTTGCCGATAGAGAAAGCGATGAAATTCTCAAGTGACCAAAAATCACATGGAATAAACATAAAAAAGTTTTCAGGTGTCATGATGGAAAAAATGAACGTTTTGTTGAGGAAAAATAGAAAGTGGTGATTTACATAATATAAGTACGTAGCTGCATGATATTATCGTGCTAAACCAGGAATGGATGACATTATAAGCCTTATCATTGTTTAGAATGTTGGATACGTAATTCTGACGTGAATAGTTCTACAGTCGGTCGGTTTTTTTTTAAGTTTATAAGCAATATAACCTTTTTTCTTATAATACAAAATCAAATACTTACTATATATATATATAATAATATAATCCTTATTTTCAAATATTTTAAATAGATACATTTACGATACGGTACAACTATATCTAAAAAGTTCCCCAGGCCAACGAAGATCACCTTAATACCAAAAAAAAAAAAAAAAAAAAAAAAAAAAAAAAAAAAACAAAAAAAAAAATTAAAACCAACAAAGACACACAAATTAAAACCACAAAATA